TTGTTGAATTTCAACTATCAAAGCCAAAGTTTGCTCCACATTCACAAGAATATGTTTTGTTTTTCCAACACCCAAAAGAAAAAAAAAATTTCTTCTACACAAGAAATTTCTTTAAATCAATGTGGTTAAAATTTTTGTCGTCACCCATATCCTTGTTCCTGAAGCAATAAGTACATATTTTTTTCCATACTTGTTCACTCAGCATGAATTTCCAAAATCCTTGTAACTCCAGTTACAACTTGTATGAGTCCCTGAATCCTCATCACTGTTATGTCATAAGAGGTCTAAATCTTTGTCACAACACTTATAAATCACCTAAGTTTTGAATCCCTTGTCACCACTGTTATAACATACTTCATAGGACTTATAATATAAGTAATACTTTGGTAACTTGCCGTGATGCCTTTATTACTTAGTATGAAGACTGACTCCAAACAGCTTCTTTTTCTCAGACCTGGAGCTCTTTATTTATAGTTATTGATTAGTTCATATAGTCACCTGGGGTGTATTATTTGCTCCACAACAGATTTATAAATAAGAAGCAAGAGTTGCCTTGTTAGGTTATAATAAAACGAAGGGAAGTAGAATTCTCATAATGCACTAGAAAGACAGTTTTGGCATGAAAATACAAAGTCCCCCCAACCCCAGCCATGTGTTGGACCAGAAAGACAGATTTTCTTAAATGAGATCGCAAGAAAAATGTCTTCATACAGATAAGCCTAAAACATTTATTTCTTTGCATTAATGCATAAAAATCAATATATATATGTTTTGTGAATAATATGAATCAATTATGTAAGCAATTGTATGTTTAATCAAAAATCAATCATTTAATAAATATCTTATATCTTGTTGCATGCACACCAAAAACTTTTCATGCTTTATTTCATCTTGTGCATGAATATTAGTGTAACATGTTGTGGATGAATGATATAATCCCAGATAAAAATAACAAACCCAAAACAAGGCCTCATATCATTCGCACACTCACAACAATTTAATTTTAAAATTCCTTGTATTTTTTAACTATAAACAATAAAGTCTCTGGAAGACCATTGAAAAAATTTTGAAGTTACTTTCTTTTTACTTACCAATAATATTCTTTCAGAATGGCTACTTCTCTGAACACATAAAAAGCAAAGAGCTATCATAGGATTTCTGTTTTTGGAGGGATAAATTGCTGCAAAAATTTTTAGGAGATTAGTGAATGATTATAGAAAGGTTGCACTTCATGCAAACATAGTAAAGATATGAAAAAGAGACTGACCTTAGAGACAGGCTCCAGTGTGGTAGGCTAGGTGCTACTTACTGTGAATAAGGGTATGACCAAACAGGCTGATGTTCTCATTGCATCTGGTTGGAAGTATCAGCATATATACTCAAAGAAAATATCAGGAAATTACCATTCACCAATGATTAACATTTTAACTTCTCATATTATTCTCTAAATCTTAGTCCTCAACAATATTGGCTTTGTGCTAGACTTAGCTAAGCTTAGCGATAAACAGTTGCAAAAGAGCTGAAAATGTAGTCCAAATGAGATAATTATATAAATCTATTTCTTCTCGTTTAAAGTGTCCTTCAAAATCAATTACAATAAGTATACATTTTCAGATGGAAGATGTTCATTATAATTGTTTTGATTTTGTTTCAAATTCAAAACTTAAAAATAAAAATGTAGATTGGTCAGCAAATAATTTGAAGAAAACCTAAGGTAAATTTTTATTTAGAGGGTTGTTTACATTAATCATGAATCCTCTAAGAAAATTCAGTGGCAAATTTTAACCATTAAAAAATAAATTGATATAATACATACCTGGATTAACATTAAAATAATGATAATTTTATATATTTTATTCAAATAATTAAGATACAAAAACAGCAAGGTATGTTGGTGTAATTTAAACTTAAAAAAGAAAAAATTGAATAAAATGAATATTCTTTTCAGACATTTGCGTTCAAATAAAAGTTCTGCATGTATATGATAGAGAAAGAGGGTTTACATACAGTAAGAAAGGGAGAGAGAGAGAGTCTGTTGAACTTTCAGTTGTGTCTGGACATAAGCTTGTTGGTGGAAGTAAATAGATGATTGAAAACACTTCCTTTGAAGTTACTGGTAGAAATAGAAACTGATTTTGAAATTTACAAAATTGAGAGCAGGAGCATTATTTCTTTGTAAGTATATGTACTTGTAGACTACTTTTTATTTTTGTATCAATTCCAGAAGAAAGATATTATCAAGTCAAGGTAATCTTTACCTCGGTTTGTAAAATATGTCCACTTTGTTTAAATTTAACAGTGATCAAGGGAAGAAAAAAGATATTAATAGGAAATAATTATTTTATATTCATGATGTCTTTTCACATATTAATCTAAAACTTTTTTTAAAATAGCAGTAAAATCAATAAGATAAACTAGATGAATTTAAGGGAAGTAATATCAGCTAGTATGCCCAGAGTTAACTCCCTTATAGATAGTGTGGAGAAAAAAAAATTGCAAATCTATGGTACCTATGTGGAGTAAACTCAATATGAAATTACTAATCATCATACTACAGTAGGTATATATATACTACAGTAGGTATATATATACTAATGCTTGATGAGATGTGTTGGTACACATCGAAACATGATGGCATTAATGTAGCATTGATTTTCATACTGATGTAATTATCCTAAAATAAAGAATACAGCTCTACTTTTGTATTGAGCTCTGTTTTAAATTAATGTTACGAATCTTGGGAATTTATATTTGATTCATTCTCATTTCATATATATATATATATATATATATATATATATATATATATATATATATATATATGAATAAATCAACTGTTCATTTTAATTTCTAAGCCCCACACCACTATATGGCCATTACACAAAATATTCAGGGCTTTGGATAAGTCATTCTGAAATATGAGATAAAGACTTGCAGGTTCAGAAAAGTCATTTGAATTTGTGTATGAGGTAAAACTCATGTTTAGAAAATACACTTGTATATCAAATGTAAATGATTCTTCTTCTTTTTTTCTTCTTCAGCAGCAGTAGTAGTAGTCTTTCTCAACCCAGATAACAGCCCTTTACCTCACCTGAATCCAGTTAAATTCTTTTGAAGTAGAAGTTTTTACACTCCTGAAACAGTCATTCATTTCTGCAGCAGCAGCTGCAGCAGACTTTACACATTTGAGACAGTCAATTTCTTCTGCCAGATGGCAGTCTTTTTGCTCATGTGGTCAATTCCTTTCTGGTCTGTAGCAGTAGTTTTTCATTATATAGCAATCATCATCATTGCACACACACACACACACACACACACACACACACACACACACACATACATACACCCTTACAAATTCAAATCTTTCACAGCATTCATTCATTGGACAGAAAACAACACTATATTCTGAAAATCGCTATATTTTCATATAGTAAATTTTGTGCACTTTTGGGAGAACTGACTCCCAGAAGTCTCCCCAAATCTCGGGCACTGGTTGGTCAATATCAACCAATCAGATTCTCTGCATGTGGAGAATGATTTTTCCCATGCAGATTCCTAATTCAATGTCTACCTATATAAACAGTCAAAAGATGACCAACATCAGTGAGACCTTCAGCTGCCACAGAAATCCACATCAGTCGAAGCTATGCACCCATCTCCTTTACTCAACTATCAAATCAGTGAGATTTCGACTGCTACTGGAATCCACGTCAGTCGAAGACATGCACCCATCTTCTCACTCACTTTCAAATTACATATTCTATCACACATATAATTTTCCTCTTGCACAGCAGAAATATCTAAAAACATTTATAACAGACTAACAACTCTTTCATTTCCTTTTCAGAGAACATTGATAAACTTTTATAGTCAAAGAGAGACTACTATCGTCTGACTCATTACATGCTTCTTTTTCTTATATATTCTTTATTGTACGCTTTGTTGAATACAATTATATATATATATATATATATTGATACCTTTGCCTTGTCCCTTTTTCTTATATCAGTTTGGGTTCCTAAACAAAAATTAAATAAATGTGGTGACATGCCTAGACATGCCACATCTCATTGATAACTCCGACGTTCGTTTGGAATTCTGCCACAATTATCCTAGATCCCAACCTCTACATGCCTGAGACAGTCAATCCTTTCTCTTCAATGACAGCCTTTTTGCCCAAGTCGTCGAATTCTTTCTGATTTTGTAATCAAAGTTTTCCCTTTTATATAGCAAACAGTTTGCTCCAACTGGATCAAAATCAACTCCTTATACTTTTTATTCCTAATTGTTTAAATACTTGAGAATCACTATCCAGTTGGACTGAACACATTTGGAATTTAAATTTGGCAGATTTTTGACAACAGAGTTGAAGCTATGTTTTCTAAAAAATTGCTGCAGAATGTTTAAACAGTGTGGCTTCATTTTGGTGTATTTTCATATAAATTCTATTTGGCCTCATTTTGGTGGTTTCTTTGAAAAAGAATCCATTATTGATATTTTACTTTTCTCAATTAATTTTTCATACATTTAATATTTTGTTTTTTATTTAAATAGTTTGTATAATAATTTTTACACAATTCCAACATTTTAATTATTTTTCACATACAATTTTATCATTATCTATTTTATTAAAAATAATTTTTATACAGAATCAATCTCACCACTCTGAATTAGTTATCCAGCTTGCTAACAATTATACCACGATGAAGCATGCATATTAAATTATTATGTAAATATTTATTTATCTTTTTGTGTAAATGACCACAAGAATAGATATCCCTAAAAATATTTATTGATTGGCGCAATATTATTACAATATTCTTCGACGCCATATTTTTTTTAAACATTTTCAGCCAATCAGATTTCAGTATTGAATTCACACGGTTTGTTTACAAATATGTCTCCCTTCGCCATGCAGAAGGGAAGTTGATTCTTGTTGTCTACTTTTGGAGGGATTTTAGCTGCAGACAAAATCATTATCTTAGAAATTTAAAGAGCTGATGAAAATGTTGAATATCGTTGGTCGCGGGAATTCTTCACGATTTCCACAGAATCTTCCACAAAACGTAATAAAGTCTAAGGAAACTTGCAAACAGCAAAATAGACCAGCAGACTCTTCGTTTTTTTGCTTTCACACAAGACACAGATCCGAAGCCAGAGTAAGTTTTATTTTTACCTCCTTCAAATAATGTGAACAAACTCTTGTTAAAAATAAAATTAAATTAAAACATTAAGTGTCATGTTCCTATGAAGTTATTGGAAAGTGTCGTAAATTATGATATATTTTTTAATTCTTAGTAATAAAAATAATTTATATGTTTAGTAAAGTTTATTATTAATTTTTAAATTTAATTTACCTCTATTGTTGTTGAAAAAAACCCAAAACAAAACTAGAATGATGAAAAAAGGCCCCAAACTTAATAAAAACAAAGTTTTATCGTTAAAATGTGTTAGGAAAAAGACCAAAGTATTTTTTTAAAATTTTCTAATCCTTTCTAGCACGTACGAAATAGTGGTTAAAAAAAAAACCTTTTTTTCCGTCAGCATTCGACATAATTTACCATTACGGTTTTTGCGCTTTTTCTTCAGGTGAAAAACACATTGATTTGGAGATTCTTGCAAAAATCAAGTAATTGTCGGATTTTAATGAAACCTTCAGGACTTATTCACAAATAAATGAAATTTTCTTTTAGAAAATCTTGTTAATTTTCTTTCTTTTTTTTTTTTTTTTTTTTTTTTTTTTTTGTGCATGTTTCCCCCACCACTTAAAGTCTTAATTTCATGAAATTTCGAGAAATTAAGTTTCAATCTCAAAACTAAAGCAAGAATCTTTGGATAATGTAACTCATTTTTTTTTTTTCAAACTACCACTCATTTACCGAAAATTTTCTCCGAATTGTAAAATAAAAAATGTAGGTACTTTTTAATGAGATCGCTAAAAAAAAGAGCATGAGTCAAACTCAAAAGACGCCAAACTTGACGAAAACAAAATTTTATCGTCTAAATGTTTGTTATTATTAAGAGGAAATATCAAAGTATTTTTTAATTATTTTAAAAAATTTTCCTTCTTTTTAGAACATTTAATTAAAAAAACCTTGTTTCTCTTTATCACCAGAACTAGTAAAATAACATACACAATTTTTAGCACGTTTTTTTTTTAAATTTGAAAATCTTGTAAAAATAAAAATAATTGTCGGATTTTAATGAAACTTTCAGAAACTATTCACAAATGATGGAACTTATTATAATATGTTTTTCTTTTTTAAAGTTATGGCAAAAATATTGTTTTTCATATGTATTTACTACCCCACCCAATAACTAATTGTACGAAAACTCTATAATTTCAATTTTGGTAAGATTAGTGATTTAGTTAAAAGCACAAGGCTTTGAGGAAACCAAATCATGTTTTTAGTTAGACCACCTCTACCTGAAAATCATCTCTGAATTGTAACATACAAAAAAAGTAAAACTCAATAAAACAAAAATATTATTTAATTAAATTTCAATCTATGTCTGTCTGTACATTTAGGAAGAAAAACTACTTCACTTCACCGATCTTCATTAAATTTGGAACATAGTAGTTTTCAATTAAAGCTAAAAAAAAAAAAAAGGCTTCAAGAATGCTTTTTGATTTTTAAAAATTCATTTTAAAAACCAAGGTATCGAAATTGGAGGTACCTACGAGCTAAAAAAAAAAGAAGAAAATTAGCCTCAAAAACGGAATGATGTCTATTGATTATTTTTTTCCCCATTAGCAACACTGTTGTCTTTCTATTTCTTTTGTTTTTTTTTACGTCAACCAAGTGAGAATGAAAAAAAAGAAAAAATGATGGAAAATTAATGAAAATTATTAAATTGTAAAAAATTAGGTTTTAACAGCAATTTCAAAATTACAATTCATTAAAATTTCAATTTAATATCTTACGTTTTACTTTTTTACTTTTTAAGGAGCAAGCATAATTTTTAAAATAATAAAAATTTTCGTTAAAATAATAATTTAAAGAATAAAGTAAAACAATATCATTCTCTTCACATCGGAAATGCATCTAAAAAAACTGTCTTGTATTGATAATTAATTGTACATAAAAATAGATAAAAAACATTGAGGAGACTAACAATGACAATGAGGACAAGAGTTTCAATAAATCAGTTCAGTGTGTACACTGTTGTAGTGTAATAATGGAAATCAATGATGAAATTACGTAAATATTGTGACTATAAAAATCAATAAGGACAACACTTGGGATAAAAATCTGATATATAACTGTAGGGTAGCAGTTTCCATTGAAAAACCTATTAATTTGGAAATCCTTGCAAAAATCAAATAATTGTTTGATTTTTAATGAAACTTTCAGGAATTATTAAAAAATGATTTATTTTTAAAATTTTTAGTTACCCCCCAGCTTAATTTCATGAAATTTTCTAGAATTTCAAAGAGTACGAAAATTGTTTTATATTACCTAAGCGGAACTCCTTGGAGAAAGTAAATCATCAATTTTTTTTTTCCCCACAACTACTCCCAAATCGTAAAATAAAAACTGCAATAATAAAATGATCTAATTATCTAATTAGATAGGCTTTTATTTGCTTTTATAAATAATATACATTTAAGTACATTATTGTCTGAAGAAAAAATTTTTTTAGATGAATAATGAATTTTTACAAGATTTGTTTGCATTTTTCTTTAATTTTTTCAGGAATTGTTTTTAATTTTCTTTAAGTTTAAAAATGTTTTAAAATTCTTCCGGACATTGTACGAGGTAGGTTATTAATTGAAGACTATGTTTATTTAGCGAAAATTAAAATCTTAATACAAGTTATACTCCCAAAACCTTTTACCATAATTAAAGATTTATTTATTTTTTTTTTTTTTTTTGTGCGTCAAAATTATATATATATATATATATATATATATATATATATATATATATATATATATTTTATATTTTTAGTATGGTGTATTATAAGTTATATTATGGTTAAAAGAAAACTCCTTGCATAAAGGTTTTCTGTTGCAGGCAATACTTTCATTTAGGTACCTCCAAAACTTTGTATAGCTATGGTTTAAAAATGTATTTTTCATAAAGGAAAAATCCTTTTTGAAGCATTCCCCCTGTTTCAATTGAAAGCTTTTAAAGGACTAAATTTTCAAATTTCAGAAAAAAAAAAAAATACCGTGGAGAAGTTCAAATAGAAACAGAATAGAAATTTGAATGATTTTTAGTCAAGTCTTCCAAAAAAACAATCAAAATAGACATTTTTAACTTTTTTTGAGAAGTGTAAAGAAAATTTATTTTTCAGTTTTAAAAATCTCGCTAAAATAAAATAGACATTTCTGAAATGTTACTTTCATAAAATTAGCAAATTTAAAGTTAAATTAATCTGTTTTGAAAGAAATATCACTTTAAAAAATAATAATTTTTCATCTCAGTCATGGTCAGAACATTGTGACTATAATAATGACACTGAGGCTAACTGCTTGAACAAATCATTGTGGCTATAACAACAAAGTTGAGAACAACTGTTTGGATAAATCAATGTTTAATAATTATGTCTCATCACTGAAATTCAATCAGAAACTAACTTTTTTTTCTTTTTTTTTTTTCTTTTTTTTTTTTTTTAATACCAGCTCCCTGCAGGATGTAGATGATCATGGCTATTCACAGATTCTATTTTTTTTTTATTTGAGAGTTTCCTTTGCCTTCTTGGGTAAAGATAGTGGAGTGTTTTTCTTCTTTTTTTTTTTTTTTCTTTCTTTCTTTCTTCATGGTTTGGAATTCAGAGATTTTTCTCTTAAACTAGTTGCCACCTAAGTCTAAAGAGCTCACTCTAACCCTAACCTATAGCTAGAGAGAGATTCATGACTTTCCCAAAGGCATTTGTGCTATTGACACAGCTCTTAAGTTTATATAAATGTGTCTAAATTGTTGATGTTAAAATATACATCAATTAAAAGTATGATAAATATTTAGTGTTTTTGTTTATATCGTATATTTGTAGAATGTTGACTAGAACGTCGGGTTGACCAATTGTAGAATGTATTGCTTCTTGAGTATTGTGGTCACCAATGTTGAATGGGTTAAATAGATAATGTCGCTGCCTGTTGAGAAGGTAATCAACATTCATACATAATATTTAAAACATCAAGGAAAAAACAATGAGAAATATAACGAAGAAATATATGTATATTAAATTCAACAATAATACAAAGTAGTTGTAATATGAGTGAGAAAGGGAGAAAAAAGTAGCTTCCCCTTGACTGTAAGGAAATGTCTTAAAGAAGATTTGTCTGAGTAAAATGTTCAGAGTTCAGTGTTGAAAATAGAATATTTCTTTCAGAAAATTGTTCAGTTGTTGCAACTTACAAAGTTGATTTAACTTGGTGTGTCCACTGAGAACTGGTAGTGTATCAAATAAAGTTCTGTATTGTATGTATGTACGTGCGGAGTGAGTAGGATGAAATACAATGGCCCGAGTAGATGAGATCTATTGTCTCTGGGTACACTTTCGACTGTGGTTCTGGAACTACTACTACTGGTTTTTTTGTAATGCATCCAATATTTATACTACCTAGGGTGGCTCCCAGCAGAGACGCTGGATATATTTTTGAATATACATGAAAAATATCTGATTGGACAGAAAATGGACCAAGCAGCGATTTTGTAGCAAAGCTTGTTTTTGAACAAAGTGTAGGAACAAATTTACTATGGTGGAATGCGATAGATAAATTGTCCTGTTGTTTTTTAGTATGTATTTATTGACCAATTAGAATTGGAGAAAATGTAGTCGTGGCACTACATATTGAAATGTAGATGAAGCTTTTTTCACTTTTTATAGAAGGATACATGTGACCTGAAACTGATTTAAGCCACTCTACCTTATCTCTTACTATATGTGTGTACATGTGTGAAAGTAAAAGTCTTTATTAGAGAGCACATCACCTTGTTTGTGTGTTTTTCTTTGTTTTTCCTTTAAGACTATGAAATAAAACTTGTAATAACATGTTTGGATTTTAGGAGCAGTTCATCCATTTAAATAGGGAATATTTCATGATCGATGTTTGATTATGTAAAACTATCTGAACAAGTCAGGAGTCTCTTTATATCATTGGTTTACTCTTCTCCAGGAACCAGCTTTTAATTGTTATAGATGATCTTTCCTTCAAAATCTAATTTGGTTTAATCTATTCACACAATTTACTTACATTGTATATTAGTTTAATTTTTATATCACATCTTATTTTTTTTTCAAATAATCATTCTAACCATTTTAAAGCATTGTATATAGTGTATACATTCCATAAATTATTCAAACTATTATCCTCATTGTTGCTGATTTTTATCACATTTAGCTGATCTTTGGCCTTCTTGAGTGCATGATTCATTTTGTAGTCTATTTTTCTCTCCTAAATGGTTCTAGATGTGGACATTAAAATTGTGTACGCTTATTTTATTTCATCTAGTGAAAAAACATCCAGGTAAAATATTAGCCCAAATAAAGTATGTAATAATACTACCTTTTTAGAAAAAACTTCCATTTTTCTATTTTGTCTACTTTGATTTTTAGTTACGTGCTGAAGAAGAAGAAGAGAAATTGATACAAGAACAAATAGAAAGAGCAGAAAAGTTGCAGAAATTTCAAGCTGATGTGCAGAAACGGGTTTCAGCAATTCGGAAAATGAAACAGCAAAAAGAAATTGAACGAGGGATGAAAGACGTAGGTATCAAGTGAAAGTTGGTAATACAAACCATTCTACTGATCTTAATCTCTTTCTCACATACACACCATTTGTTTGACATGTAATTTTTAGCTGAATTTTTATCTGTAATTTTCACTGTATAATGTTTGGCATATGTGGTTAATATTCATAACTGAATTAAGTGCATTGACAAAGATGATTATATTTAAAAAATAAATATTTGTTCAGCATTAGTCTATGGATTTGTGTGTGTGTATGTATATATATATATATATATATATATATATGACCCTGTTCAGAGTTGTAGAAAAATGCAGTAGATTACTTAAATTCAGAAATTAACTCATTTTTGTACATGACTGACTCCAAAAATTTGAATTTTTATATTCATATATATTAACCAGTCAGTGATGTCATGAGATGCGCTGCTTTCTTTGAATTTGTAGACAAGTTTTCTTGTCAGCTACAAAATTTTAGAGGATCACTTCAGAAATATGATCAACAGTATTTTCCCACCTTAAAGTGGATATTTAAAAATTGAAAAAATATTTATTAACCTTAAATTACTTGACATTAATAAATCTAATTTTTGCTTTTTTTTTTTTTTTTCTGGAGCCAGTGTTTCATTATAAAAGTTATCAGTTTTAGTTTGCTAATTAGTTTTTCAGTTAACCTTTGACCAGGGTGGTTGTTCATTTGTTATACAAAACTGAAATTCTCATACTTAATTATTTTTTGCATATTTAATGCTGAGCAATATTGACATAAAAAAAAAACATGCAGACTAAGTTTGTTTATGAGCGTCAACAGTAGTAAACCAACTCCCTGCACAGTGGGCCTAGAATGGCAATATTTGGTAATTTGGGAATAATTTGAGAAATATTCACAGTATATTGTATGAAGGCTCATTGATTTAGTGAAATGAAGAAAGTCGAATTTTTTCATATTTTGGGTGGTCTGTGATCGGATTTCCATATTTGGGCATAACTGGCCCAAAACATGAAAATTGCTCTAATTTCGGTTTGGTTGAAGATAGAAAAGCCAGGGCAACATGATATCAGTGAAATCAACAAAATTGAATTTTTATCATATTCCTGAGGGTCTGGAACTGGATTTCCATATTTAGGCATTACAGCCCCAAAACACGAAAATTGCTCTAATTTCAATTTTGTTGATGATAGAAAGGCCCTTGATTACCTGAAGTACAGAGAGAAAGAAAGACAGTGTCCCTGTAGTTTCCTTTTTGCCATTAGAAGCTGTTTTGTTCATGTTACTTATGATTCTAAGTAAAGAGTAGATAAGACATGTTAGTTATTTCTTTGGTCAAAAATTAATTCAGTTTCCAACAACTAATGCACTTCTTCCCATCAGAAAGTCCTTGAAAGCTCAAACATATTCTGTTTTGGATGGAAAAGGAAGCGTCCTTGTCTACAAGAACCTTGTAAGAGAAACAATAACATTAGTCGTCAAAGATAATCAAGGAAAATTCTCCAGATCTGTCACTCAACAGTTTAACCATGCACTTGAAAGATAGTGGGGATGGTGCTGGTACAATGCCAGCGCTTAAATTGAAAAAGAAGACAGTTGAGGATGGTGACAATGACAATGATGAAGACCACATATTTTAGTATGGTATCATTCCTCTGAAACTTACACAGAATGTTGGTGGCAAAGAAGAGATTTTATGGCAGAACAAAGTGCTCAATTCTGCACAATCATTGAGATTTGTGTATTTGATTAGAGAAGTAGAAAGTAATTTTGACCTCTTTAACTTCGTGGTCAAAGAAACTGATCATGCTCGGAATGATTTAAATACTAATATTTTATCAATTAATATTGGTGATGATTTTAGTGTGTCATTTGTAATTCTAGGAATAGCATAGCAAGACAAGGTGCCCAACACTGAGGTCCTGTCTCGAGCAGGTCTGCATGTTCACACTGCTCAGACAGCACAGGTACTGTTGGTTAGGCCACGTCTACCACATGCCAGACAGCTGCATTCCCAAAGACCTCCTGTACTGAGAGCTGGCCTCTGGAAGGAGACCCACTGGGCGGCCACAGCTGCAGTACCACAATGTCGTGAGGCGCCACATGAAAGCTGTGGACATCAACACAGATTCCTGGGAGAGCTTGGCAGCCATATGATGCAAATGGAGAGGAACCCTGACCAAACACTTTAAGTCATGGAGAGAAGCTGACACAAGTCGGCATGGAAAGGTGGGCCTGTAGAAAGCAAAATGACAGCTCCAACACATGTGACTTCTGCAACAGAGTTTGTCACTCCATCAGCTTTTACAGTCACAGATGTCGATGCCCCAGCCAAGCAGACAACTAGGATGCTATCCATGGTCAACCCTGACTGATGGAGGCCTACCAGATGTGTAATCCAAGACTCTTTGAAAGACCTTAAGTTCAAGAAATTAATTTCCAGCTTAGTATGTGCGGGTTGCATACTGTGCAAGTCCAAGGTCAAAGATTGGATGGACCCCAAACAAAATACAAGATGGTTTCAAAGTCGACAGGTCAGCCTCAGATATGCTGAACATATTCAATGAAGTCCTCGATTTGGAACCAGAGCTGGTATCACGCAACAACCACTTTCCAATTCTGACCAGCATTGCATAACTATCACCCACTCCTTCATAAATGGAACAACATGGTATTTGAAAATGTATCATTGTCATGCAGACTACCAGAAATGGGTTGACAAGTTGGGTTTATGCAATCACCTTGACAAATCCAAAGATAAGGTGAAGGACTTCATCAAACAAGAAACTGGTCTGTGCTTAGATTACATCAATTACACAGGTATTTCAACTGATAGGAAAACAAGGTCATTGATTCTATTCTGATGAGTTGATTCTGTTATTGGTGAACTGTTCAATAAGAAGCACAACCAAAAACACAAAGGATCAATGTTAAAAACTGCACAAACAGTTGAGCATTATTCTCCAGATAGTTTTGTGTAACAGAAAGATCAACATTGTTAAATTTGATCAGTACTGCAAGGAAACAATGTTTGACATCACCAACAACTTTTCATGAGCTTTGCTGAACCACACATTGAATGGGATCATACAGCATTGTGCCAAATTAATTGAAATCAATGGTGGGGAAAGCTTGGAATGGTATTCTGAGGAAGGCTTAGAGGTGAACAATAAGGATATTTGTAACATCTCAGTAGAAAATGTGACAACAACAATCAAATTGAAAATGTTCACCATAAATTATTGGAGAGATTCAACCCCTATCTTATTTATGTCACATCAAAATACATTGGGACAAAATTGTGCATGACATGCAAAGCAACAGATACACACAATTTGAACTCATGATGCTTATTACTTTAAGATAAATGTTGAGGATTTTTTTCCTTGCATATCAGTTTGATGATATATGTTCTGATTTGAGAAGTGCAATGTTCATTCATATTTTCTCTAAAATATTGCCATTTTTTGACACCCAGAAGGTCCTTCTAGGGTCCATGGGTCTTCAAGGGGCTGAAATGTGTTCAAATAATTTTTTTTGTGTGTCTATATGATAGATATAAAAAAATAAACTTACTTCATGGAAGTCTTGACTACCTTGAAAAGATCATTGACCCAAATCAGGAAAATGTTTAAAATTCCCAAAATTTTGAAATCAGACACCAAGTGTTTCTTTTCTCTTTTGCTTGTGTCAACTTCGTTCCAGTTTTGGATTTGTTGGCACTATCTCAATTGTTGATTCATGTAGGAAATATGTTCAGGAATCAGAAAATATATACTGACCGATGTCCGGAGGCCATCTTTCTGGTGTGATTTGAGTAAGAAGAGCGATTTTCAGTGGAATTTTCCCTAAAATATTGCAATTTTTGAACCCTGAATGGTTCTTCTAGGGTCCAATATGGGTCAGTGAGTGGGTAAAATGTGTTCAAATAAACTTTTTGTGTCTATGTGATAGATATGATACAGAAAATAAGATTTAGGTACAAGGATTTGAGTAAAGATTGCATTTTACTTGACATTTCCCAAAAATACAGATTTTTCATTAAATTCTATGGAAAATGGCATATCATCTAATTGTTTGTAAATTTATGACATTGAAATTGACATAATCTTAGTTCTAGACAAGATATTGAGCTGATTTTATTTATTTATTTTTTTTTTTTTTGCAGTTTCAGAAATTTTATCTAGTTTCCATAAAATATAACTGTGTATGTTTTTTTTGATAGCCATTTTAGTGCAAATTACCATCCCTTGTCCCACTGTACCCTGCTTATTCATGCTACAATTTATATGTATACATGAAACAACACACATTCCCACATGTAGACACATTCTGTTTCTTCTATACTAACACAGTTTATTCAGTTGTACTGTAAAAAGATATACAAAATGTGTGAAATTGTTTTGCAAAGACTCTTTGTAACTCATTTCTTTCAGTTTGAAAGAAAAATAATACTCAAATAATAAAAAATTATTTAAATTTGTGGAAGATTTTCTTGTTTCTTCATTTTATTCATGCATATCCTGCCATATATATATATATATATATATATATATATATAGTCCTACCCTGAAGCAATTCCGTGGTGTGAAAAAAAAACAAAACACCAGTCTACCAATTTCCAGTGAGACCATTGAAAGTAGAAGACAAAGCTCTCAACTATGTAAAGTGTTTCACTTGGTAGCAAAGTCAACTACAGTGGTTCTTTTAGATGATAAAATCATGCATCTGATTGCTAAGGCTACCAGTGCTTTCAGCAAACTTTGTCATCGCTTGTGGGATGAGTGGGGTATCCGATGGAATACAAAAATTTGGGTTTACAGAGCTGTTGTCCTTGCCATCCTTTTGTATGGGTCAGAGTTGTGGACTCCATACAGGTACCATATACGCTAGCTCGATGTTTTACATAAGATCTGTCTGCATGCCATCTGTGGAGTTAGCTTTCAGAGGAAATGTAGACCTGTTTAACTGGTATAATATTGGAGGAATCAGGACTTTCCTTATACAGTCTCAGTTGCAGTGGTTGCAGTGGACTGGTCACATCTTGAGAATGTCTGATGACAGGATACCCAAGATCCTAATGTAGAGACAGTTAGATCAGGTCTACAGGAATGCAGGACACCCATGGCTTAGATACAAAGACAAGCTGAAGAGCAACTTGTCAGCTGTCAATATCTCATAACACCCTTGAGCGCTTAGCCTTGGAGCAGGAAGAGTGATGATCAATACGTTTTAGTGGACTCTAGTTTTCAATCTGCTAGTCTGAATTGTCTTCAAGAAGTGCTGGTCTTGAGTGCCACTTAAGATTATTGCACAAAATTCATAACTGAATCAATTGGTTAAATTGTTAGATCCTCATACATCAAAACTGACAGGAGAGTTCATTATATATATATATATATATATATATATATATATATATATATAGGATGCTTTAGCAATTAAAACTTTCTAAAGAAATTTTTGTCTTAGTGAATTGTTTTTTCTTTTAATTTGAGTAGCATTTTTTACATGCAAATTGTGGTCAATCTCATGGTGAGCAACTAATGCATTTAATGTTTTGTAAAAGATCCCTTTTGAGTTTATATAATCTTTTATTTAAATCCTTACACTGCATTAACAGTAGCTTAAAACTTAGTGTTCACTGAAAATCAACTAATAAGAATGATCTCATAAATTTCTATTCCTATCATAACAACAAAATAAAATTTGGAATAATCATTGGCTTCTACTTAAGTGCACTCAGAATTTGACAAACCCAGTGAATCAAAAAAAATATAGTTCTATCCATTAAATTTGACACAAATACATCTAATACAATAAATGACTTAATTTATACAAACAAAACAATAACTTGAAGGAGGAATTTACTCTATTACCTGTGATAATTGCCACAAGGAATACATTGGAGAAACCTCAAGGAATTAAAATAAAAGATTACAGAAACACAAAAGGGATCTTATAAAACAATGCTTTAGTTGCTCACTGTAATGAGGCTGACCACAATTTTCAAATAAACAAAGCTATTCTAAGTAAAAGAGAAAAGAATTCACTAAGATGAAAATGTTTAGAAATTGTTAGATCATCCACAATAAATTTGTGTCCAGCTTCTTACAATGTTTTACCATTCTTACCAGAATGCTTGAGATATCTTGTTAATAGCTCAAATGTTTTTTCTACATGCAATCACATGCACACAATTATACTTGTCAAGAGGAGTTATAGCCCTTGTAACCTTTGTTAAGCAGAATAAGACAGAGTTTCTCAGGAGATGTCTACAAAATATTATCACAAAAATTTACTCTATCTCCCCACTGTTGTCTTCTAAGTTGTATTGGTTAAATATTTTTGTGATAGATCCAACTATTGATTAACCTTACTATCAGGCCTCTCCTCTAAGGTACAGCAGAGCAGTTCAGCAAATTTAGCTTTCTACTTAGGAGAAGGAAACCAGAACAGAAAACTTACCATTTCATTATTCTGCAAGTGAACATGTATTTTAAAGGGGTTGGAGCAATAACATGCAACTCACAATATACTAGAGTTGATTGGTTTGACAATTTATGTTTTGGTATTGGTTTCTGGTTTTGTTTTCCTTGATACTGTGGTTTTCGATTTGGTTTTTAATTTAGTATTTTTACTTTCTGAGGAATTCATTCATTTTCTTGTATAATGATAGCATTTCCAGTCAATATCTGATTTCGTTTGGGATTGATAAATTTGCAACTTAGTCCATTCAACTTGCAATTTCTTGTGTATTTCTGGTCTAATCTTAAAAATATTCATATGACTGAAAATAAAATAATCTTTCTAAATATGTAATTTGTATGTGCTTTTATTCATTGAATTATTTTTATACAGCGAGTTAAAACAGTATTGCTTCAACCGGCTGAAAATGTGAAATGATTTTTTTTTTTTTTTTTTTTTTTTGAGACAAAATTTTACATGTTACTTTGTTTCACAAAATCAAAGTGACCAATCTTTATCAATATTCTTGAAATTGTACACTCAATTTGAAGACAACTTAAACTATAGCCAGGAAGATGTTCATTTCTTCTTTGAACCGAGGAAGTGCTAATTCATTCAAAAATTATAAAGTAAGCAAAAAAAAAAAAAATAATTCTTTATTGGTGTTTTGCAAATAAATTTCTTTTAAACAAGGAAAATCATTGAGTTATTTTTCATCTAAATAATTTTTTTTTTATCTTGCAAATACACCTAAAATTAAATATAAAAAATAATTAAAAGCTTTTAATTTCATTTTTAGAATGTGTAGATTTCCAAATCTGAGAGTATCACCTGTTCTTTTTTAGATACACATTTTAAAATTGAAATTAAAAACTATTTTAATCATTTTAAATAAATAATCTTCAGTGTATTTGCTAGATAAAACCGTAAAAATATTTGTAAAAATAAAATGATTTAACTTTCCTTGTTTAGAAGAATTTTATAGGCAGAAGAGTAACAAACACCCACCGAATACTAGTGGTTAAAAAAGAATAATTTTTATTTTAGTTTAAAAAAATGACTTTCAGTTTTGAAAATATACACATTTTAAAACTGAGATTAAAACTTACTTTATTTTTTTTAATATCTAATTTTAGGCAAGTTATTCACTAAATAGAAACATAATTTTATTTGTAGAAAACAGACTTGCATATCTGGAAATATACACATCTTAAAAATGAAATTAAGAACTATTTTTAATATCTAATTTAGGTGCATATCCTAGATAAAAACAAATTTATTTATTAAAAAAAATGTTCATTTGTTTTTCTTGTTTGCAACAACTTTATTTAATGATTGGTGTAATTGGCTTAAAATGCTTACAAAAATTCCGACTTCATAAAATTTAACATTAAGACAAACCTGGCAACTATTTTTTTTCTTTTTACTCGCTAATTTGTTAACTTAATTTTACCGCAAAAGTTTTTTTTTTTTTTTTTAAACTGAAACAAATAGATTTTACTTTCAGACATTGTGTCATATTTCCTTTTTTTCTTCATTTCTTTTGTAAAGAAATAGATTTCACATTTATTTCCTAAAACTAGTCAATTAAATGTTTTTAACATTTTTGTTCAATCTTTTTCTCTTACAATGGTATAAATGTTGATAAAATTTAATTTTATTAACATCGGAAAGTCTTTTTTAATAGTGTTTCTTTGGATATGGTCACTCAGTAGTGATATAAAATCAAAATTGTTCAGTTTTGTAAAAAAAAATTTATGCAGTTTCATGATATGAAGATGAAACCGGAAAAAGTTGATTTTTCGGTTAAACTGAACATCTCTACAATATACCTTAAAGTTTCATAGCATTTGCCTGAGAGCTCTCCATGCACCAAATCCTTATCAGGCAGTGTCTTAAAACCTAAGAGCCTTTCAGTTATCAGACTTTTTTCTTTATCTATGGTGGAAAAACTTGCTTGTCAATGTGGTTATTGCTGGCTAATGATGAACACTTTCTTTTTTTTTCTTTCTTTTTTTCTTTCTTTCTTTTTTTCTTTCTTTCTTTTTTTCTTTCTTTCTTTTTTTCTTTCTTTTTTTTTTTCTTTTTTTTTTTTTTTTTTTTTCTTTTTTCTTTTTTTTTTTTTTCCTTTCTTTTTTTTTTTTTTTTCTTTCTTTTTTCTTTCTTTTTCCTTTTTTTTTCTTTTTTTTCTTTTTTTTTTTTCCTTTCTTTTCCTTTCTTTTTCCTTTCTTTTTCCTTTCTTTTTTTCCTTTCTTTTTCCTTTCTTTTTTCTTTTCTTTTTCCTTTCTTTTTTCCTTTCTTTTTTCCTTTCTTTTTTCCTTTCTTTTTTTTTCTTTTTTTTCTTTTCTTTTTTTTTTCTTTCTTTTTCCTTTCTTTTTTCCTTTCTTTTTTTTTTTCTTTTTTTTTTTCTTTTTTTTTCTTTCTTTTTTTTTTTCTTTTTTTTTCTTTTCTTTTTCTTTTCTTTTCTTTTTTCTTTTCTTTTTCTTTTCTTTTTTTTTTTTTTTTTTTTTTTTTTCTTTTTTTCTTTTCTTTTTTCTTTTTTTTTTCTTTTCTTTTTTTTTTTTTTCTTTTTTTTTTTTTTTTTTTTTTTTTTTTTTTTTTTTTTTTTTTTTTTTTTTTTTTTTTTTTTTTTTTTTTTTTTTTTTTTTTTTTTTTTTTTTTTTTTTTTTTTTTTTTTTTTTTTTTTTTTTTTTTTTTTTTTTTTTTGTAAATTCATTATGTACTTGAATATAAGGCTTTTGCATGTATCTGGAATCCCTTTCAGCAGTGATGTTATTTCTTTTCTTTATTTTTACAGATGAATATTGCTTGCAATGTAATGCGCAGTTGTGTTGGTCTCAGCACTTCAGTCATCAATCCACAAAAGTTTCTGATCTCTCTTAAGCAACCAAACAGCTCTTTTGATGAGGTCCCACATTCGTTATCACAGAACCCAGAAATATTGACACCACTCTCCCATGATAACAACACTAAGCAGCAGCAGCTGGAAGAGAAAATGCCCTCAACCTCAAGCACAAGTGCTATTTTTGATCAAGAAAGTGGACCTGTAAAAATTATCTGTGATGACAAACAAGTAAGAATGATGATTGTATAGTGTTACTGTTTTGTCGAATGTTGAATTGTATAATTGCTGCTGTTAAACTCAATGTAAAGTCCTTTTCAATTAATTGAATATCGAATTATTTGCAAAGAAATATATGTAAAAAAAATTTTTTTCTGAATATTGGTAAACTTTTCAAAATTTTTTGCTAAAAAACATACTTAATTTTGAATTTTGATACTTAATTTTACCTCTGCAAAATCTGACTACATTAAAAATTTAACTCTTTTGATCCTGATGGAAAATACACATAACAAGAAAATATTAGTTAATAACATAAGTTGTTAATTTCTGTAAATAATCCCAGTTGTTATATAATATTGTTGTTTTTATTCAACTCCTGAACAATTTTGAATCTAAAGAGTAATGCTTATTAAAGGTCTCTTGATCTTGTGAATAATAATTTTAAAAAAAAACTTTGTGTAAAATTGGATGAGATGATTAAACTTTACTTGCATTACTTCTGCTATGCTCTAAGTAGCAGGAAACTTGTGTAAAATGATTTTTGAGCATATAACTTAGAAAAATTGATTTTTGTAATAAAATGTCTGTGATGGAAAAGAAATAAAAAGATTTTTGCATAAATAATGATACCTGTTAAATAATGTTACATCTTTTTGGTAAAAAATTATTTGTATATAAAATTTGTAATTGATTTTTTTTATTTTTCTTTCATTATTGATATAAGAAACAAATACACACACCTGAAAGCAAATGCTTTTTTTAACTCATTAAATTCAGATGATAGGAATTTCTGCTAAAGTTAAATAAAAATGCTTGTGTCACTCATATACTTTGTTAATGAATTGGTTGAAGCAAATATATTTTTGTCATTCTTTATTTAAAAGTTTGATGTTGCAAAGTCATTGTTAATTTTTTTTTATTAAAAGATTTGCTGAAAAATACTTTTGTTATTTTTACTAGATTTGATTAATTTTGACTGTTTTTATTTTCAGTTTTCCACAAATATAGAAAAAGCAAAATGACATTTCACTCTGCATTGCAGCTAACAGACCTAATATCAGAATTGATACTGAATGTCTTACAATGAGTTATTGAAAACATTTTTAAAAAAAAATACAAATTGAAGATAGTCACCTTAGAAATCATTTTACTTTTATGAGTTTTATTTTATCTTCCATGGGTTTTATTTACATTATTACACATGGATTATTATCCCCCATCTTTTCAATGTTTTGGTAGTTGTGCCCTCCAGCCTTCATCCGGTGCTTGTAAGTCTGGGTAACCTTCAGGGAATTTCAAGCTGAACCCTTTATTTAATCTACAGGGGTAGATTGTTCTCATTCCACTATCTATATCCAGATATCTGAAATAATCAGCACATATGCTAGGCCATGAAAACCTTGGTAGGCCTAACAGAAAAACGAAAAGCAACAAAAAGGTTGCAACAGCAGCTGTAGTAAAAAGTGAAACTACAGTGAGTGCAGTCAAGTGGTTAATAGGTTAGTTTTAAGGCTCCAAGGCAAGCAATAATTGAGCAGTACTAAATAAGAACTTGGTGAAATATCTGTAGACATGGACAATGAAATAATTTAATCTACTTCTGTAGATTAAAGAAAGGGTTATGTTTGAAATTCCCTGAAGGTTAACTAGATCAACAGTCACCTGATGAAGGCAGAGGGTGGAATGGCCAAAATCTTGTGATAACAAAAGCAAAAATGGGGACAATAGTTTGTGTGTAAATAATGTAAATAAATATAACTCCTCATTTCAGAAATTCAGGAAGAAATTTCATTAATTTTATTGTAAAATGTTGCTGTTTGATTATATTTACTAAACTTAGGTCATGGTAGAAAAGCCATTAATGATAATCAGCTACAGTTACAATAACTTGTGTGATTACCTTGCTGATCCTTTCCCTATAACAGGCATTTATTTATTTGCCAACCTACAAATGTGAAATATAACACATGATCTTTTTTTTTTTTTGTGGGGTGGGAGTCTATCTACCTATTTTATACAGCTCAGGACACAGATATTTTATTGTCATTCATATACTGCCCTATTCAGTTGTCCATTTCCTCAGACATTAGAACATACTTCTGCCCCTGCCCCCTTAGTGCAGTGCGGAGATACTGTTTGGGTATCACTGGGTATCAAGATATATTTTTAATTCACCTTGACAAGTTAAGTTTAAGTAAAGCAATCGTTAAAAGAATCTGGTTTAAGAACTTTGGATTTGATAGTACCTGGACAGACTATTCCTTCACATTGCTGCAGTGATGAATTGGCTTGTTTGAATGCCACATTGGAAGAGAAAGATCTTTGCAAGATAGTTGACTTGTGTTTTTTTGACAGTTTCTTATCCTCATATTGCAAATGTGACACAAATGCACATGGAACTGAGAAAGAAAGCTATTTCTCATGGCATATTTCTTGGATATGGCACATTATTAACTATCATCTGTTTCATTCCATGTAGCTCTCATTGTCTGATGAACAACAATTGCAATAAATTGAAGCTGTTAAACATTTCTTGAATGAAAACTGAAATCATTATTGTATAATGGAATACCCAATTTAGCAGAAAGATAGCATTAGAAGCTAGAGAAAAAATGTTGATGATTGAATAATGATGTTGAATTTATATGAATGAAAGATTTATTTAAAACATGTTGGAAAGTTTCACATTAACCTAATAATTTCAGAATGGTCATTGTTTCATATTTGCTTTTCTTTTTCAGTCTCCAAATGCAAGTTATCTCATCACTGGTGGAATGAAAGACAAAAAGAAATTCAACAGAGTTCATGGTATGTTATATCTTTATACATTTTTTTATTATATATATATATATATATATATATATATATATATATATATATATATATATATAAATATAGTTTTAAGTTGTGCTATATTTATGGGATAAAGTGCTCAATATCAAAGATAGAGCATATGTAAATATAAAAGTGAACATTGAAGTTAACACTCAGAGGTGACAGGCTGTTTCATGCTAGATGTGGCCTGATTATTGTTTCTAGCATAAAACAGCCTGTCACCTTTGAGTGTTGACTTCAGTGTTCACTTATGTATAATAGTCATTATATAAATCTTCCCAATTAAATGTTTATTTTATTTGTAAAGCTTTTTTGTTGGCAGGTCTTTAGGGTGCCATTGTAGATCATTTGTTTTTTTTATATAAGGTTTTTATCTAAGATTTTTAGATGAATTGCTAATAATGAATGAACCATTGTGATGGTGATGTATTGTAAATAATATCCTTTGTTGTTTCAATCACTACATTTTAAGCCTCATTTTGGTTGTTCCAATCACTTTCAATTTTGTGTGCCCAGACCTGTGTATGTTTTATAAAGATGTGAAATTAAATATTTCATTATTCAATAAATTCTTGAGACTTGCATCTCAAATTTGTTATTTTAATCTTTGTTATAGCCAGTTGAGTCTGTTTTTTCATAGCTGTACATTGCATCTGGTATTTTTCAGTATTTTTTGTTTTTAAATAAATATAATTAATATTAATGAACAAAAATCTAAAAGTTAAATCATCACACTGGCAGGTGAGTTGTCTATCTTTGATCAGAGAAGAAATAGAGCTTTATGAGGGGGTGGGGAGTTGATGATTAATAAATGCAACACCTAAGGATGGTCAGAGTGCCCACTATTTGAAATACATTGATGAGACAAGGCATTAGTTGATCAGTGATAGGTTGTAAGAATAACTGCTACTGTTTCCTAACAACTACACATCAAGGTCAGAATTATATAAGCAGGTAAGCTGGCCTCTTGTACTTCAGTTAGATATGTTGAATATTACAGTAATAAAGAAAAAATATTTAAGTCACTAAAAGTTAACATTTTGATGTTCAGAAGGTTGTGTGGTGTGCTTTTTGTTCAGTTGTGGTGAGTACTTATTGGCTAGTTTAAGGACAAAAAACTGTCATCAACCACTGGCCAGGCATTAGGTGGTTAAGATTTCTCAATTTAAAAAGTGTACAATTTTCTAGCATGTACAAATCCAGAGAAAGGCTACTACTCCACAAATTAGAGATATCTTTAATATTAAGATGAAGGAAGAGATTATCACAACACGCAGTACATCAATTCTTGCTGTGTATCTGCAAGCCGATCAGAGTACCCATGCTAACTGATGCCCATTACTGAAAACCGTCTTCAGTGCATGCAAGGGACTCTTGTGTAGGGATACAGAAAGTGCTTATTTCCCTTTGATGGAGATAAGTCATGTGGACACATGATGACCATTTCAGATGTCACTCCATACAGTGACCCAAAGTGGTAGTCATTTTTCAGTTTGTGAACAGCAAACCAAATGGTAAGGTTGCTTTCCTTTTAGCTTGGGCCCATTGGCCCAGTCTGAGATTAAATCTGCTTCACCAGCAGCTTACAAGCACATGGTGCTGTTTAAATCTGGAGTCCTAAAAATGGCTTATCCAGGTCAGGAATGTCTTCAAATTATATGAAAGAGCTTTCCTTTTTGTTCTTCCTTATATTTTACTATGTAGATATATGTGATATATAAAAGTTGTAAAATTGGCGCTGACCTTGTTGTGGTAGTTACTGTGGATTTGTCAATGCAGTTTGAAAGATGTTTTGTCTTTTTTATTTCTTCCTTAAAGGAAAAGGTAAAAGATGGATTTGACCTCGTTTTGGTAGTTACTGACTGTGGATTTGCCATGCAGTCTGAAAGAGTTGGTATTCGGACTTATACTAAGTTAAAGCTTATTGTATTGTATATTCTACTTGTATTAATTTGCATGGATGGTGATAACGTCTCTTCATACTGTGGGTACAGGGTTGATAGGTTTCTGTTTGCTGTTTCCAGTTGGTAGTTAGGAGCTTGAACTCTTACGTAGCTTCTAAGAGATGCTTCTTTGATCGGCAGTTGCATAATATTGGGGTTCTTGCAGTGCCATTTCACACATGGAAGGGTGTCCCTGCTAGCACCTCAGGTGGGCAACCCTGAGGCCACACTATGTTGCAGTCTGCACCAGTTCTTTTCCTGCACATGTTACATTAGATGACCAACTGCTACTACTACCCAAGGCCTTTCCTTTACCAATGTAACACATCATAACTATAAACAACCAAAGATATAAACCTAAACCAGTTCAACAAAAAACACTTGAACCCATTATCCTTTCTTTCTTTGACATTCATGGTATTCGTAACAACTTCTGCAGTGTTGAATCATTCCTTTTTGAAAAGTCTCCGGACATCTTAGCTCTCTGTAAAACCAATCTTAAACCTTCAATCCCCTCCTCTGATTTCTTGGTTCCTGGCTATTTTCTCCTTAGAAAGGACTCTAAAGTCCTCATGCATGGTCTGGGAATTTATGCCCATGAACATCTCCTGCTGGCTAGGGAACTCTCTGTTGACCCTCCAAATCATTTGTACATGTGTCTCCGTCTGTCTCTACTTAACTCAGTCAACTCTCTCTTCTTTCTGTACTGTTCCCCTTCTTCTCAAAACTGTTATGTACTAGATAGTATTTCCGATAATATAGACAAGGCCATTTCCCTAGACCCATTTGCAAACACATTCGTGTTTGGTGACTTTAATGCCCACCATACCAGGTGGCTTAAACTCTTTGTCACTGACCTTGCTGGCATCCAAACCCTTACCTTCTCAATCACTCACAAGTGGTTGGTTTTTCCATGTGTTTCCCCAGTAACTCTGGTGGACATGCTTCTCTTCTCAATTTTTTCTCTCTCTTTTTTTTTACCTCTATCCCTGACTCTTGGTGTACTATGCAGCTCTGCTTGCTTGGCAACTCTCATCATGCAGTAGTGAATGTAAACATCTCCTTCTGCTTCCCCGCTGGCCAAAAATCTACCAACAGAATATCCTTCTGTTATCAATGATCAGATTGAGTCTTGTTCTGTGATTTTGTTTGTGACATCCCATGGAAAGAAATTTGTAATCGTCCTTTTCAAAAATGCACATCTGAGGTCTCCTCCTCTGTGAAAGCTGGCATCAAGGCTTTCATTCCAGCAAGGAAATACCAAGTTAAACTGTGTTCGTCTCCTTGTTTCTCACCTGAATGCTCGGCTGCTATAGCCCACAGGAATCACTTCTTGCGTCTGTACCAGAGCGACACATCTGATTGCAACAAATGTCTCTTTGTTTCTGCTCATGAGTGCAGTGAAGCAAATTTATATTTGCTAATAGAATGAAACAACATATACCATCTTGCAAATTCAGTTCTAGAGATTATTGGTGATTTTGCAGGAGTGTGCTGAACAATAGCAAATCCTCAATCATTCCCCTATACAATCAATTCAAAGTCCTGACGTCTACAACAGATAAGGTGGAATGCTTTCCTCGGAAATTCTCTTCCAACTCAACACTAAACTCATCTTGAGTACCCACACCTGGAACTGAAGCTATACTGGGTGATATGTGCATAACCGCATCACTGGTCTTAGACATCATTTCTAAATTACACTCCCATAAGGCAAGTGAAGGTGGTAGGATACCAGCTGCCATCCTAAAGAAATGTGTTCTCAAGATGGCCCCAGTTCTCTCTAAACTCTACAATTCTTGCCTTGCTGCTTCCTGCTTTCCAGTTTGTTGGAAGCCCTCCTTTGTAGTTCCTGTTTTTGTGGTGTGTAACGCAACAATTCAACTGATGATAGCAGGTAGGCACAAAGAAAACTGGTGTCGCATGTCCAACCTTCTCACGAGCTGAAAGCCCTCTGATCTGAAACAGCAAAAACGAGCCTGCTTTATACAGCTGCGGACCGACCACGATTTGCATGCGAATCACGAGGCAACGAGATTTCGCGTTAACTAACCGAGACCGACCGCATAAAACGCGGGCGCCGCCATTTTGGTTTTCTTTTTACCGCTGGAAGGACCAGAGTTTGCATACCGCGCAGATTCAACGCGTTTCCGAGGTAAGCCATTTTCACAATTTTCCCCACACTCCCCTGATCTCATGATCACAAACAGGGCAGGGAGGTGGCGATCGCCGCCGTCGAGTCCCTCTCCGAAGGGGATAACACAAGCTTCATCCTCGTGCGTGTTCTCGCTGTGGTTTGAGTGTCGGTAAACACTGTAACCGCCGAGGCTGCTGTTATCAGAATCACTGCCCTGCAGGTCTAACTCAAGGCAGATTGAACGCTCACTACTCCCAGACTCGAAATCGCTTTTCATCGCCGGTAGCGGTAGTGATTGCGCCACCGTCGCAAGTCTTTAATGTGACGAGGCACCCCATCAACTCTCACAGATTGCGGGCTGATAACCTCCGTAACACGCCCAGTGCCGCATTTTGTCGCATACACTTGCCGCATGGGGTTTTTGACACAAACAACGCCTTTTTTCAATCTCCTCCAGTCACTTTAGTTCAGGCAGCGGTTGGCTTCGGCGCCTTTTCACGCGATACGATATTTGCAGTAGTGCATCAGCCGCGCCGTGGATGGTGAAAATGTCATCTTCGGGCGACATTATACCAGTAAAACCACTTCGATACTGTACAGCCCTTCCTGGCTGCGATGGTCTTGATGGTTCTGTGGTTCCGCTCCATGATGCCGTTTCACTTGGCGAGTAGGCACATCGAAACCGCAGATGCACGCCCCAAGTGTCTGCAAATTCTTTAAAATCTTTACTGGTGAACGCGGTATCGTTATCCGTCAGTATTTCCACGGGTGGGCCTCGCTCCAGCAAAACATTCTCCAACAGTCGAATGACGGTGCTCGCGTCTTGTCTGCGCCAGCGGCCGCCATACCGCAAACCTGGAGGGACCGCAATCAATGAGTGTTAAAAAATTCTC